TATATAAAAGAGGAAAAGAAACGTAAGTACATTCGCATGTAAAATGCAGCACAAAAATGGAAAAGAAATTTTCAACTAAATACTTATAAGATCAATCTTCCTTAAATCTTTTGTTCAAATGGATGACTTCCAAGAGCTCTGTGGCTCCGCTCTTCAGTGTCACTCTGACCTTCAACAAGTCCTTTATGAATGCTACCCATCCAAGTGTACAAAGTGCCAAATCAAATAGGGTTCCTGGAATAACTTTATTCTTTTTACTCTGTAAAGACTGCATTTTGGGTATCTTAATATTGGTCAAAGCATCCTAAGCCAAGCTAGATGGCAACTGCTAGAAACACAGGAAACGCTAAAAAAAAAAAAAAAAAAGAGTTGGCATAATTTCATTCTTCCCCCCTTTTGATTAGAGTTTACAAATATAACTGTCAGCTAGTTATCCTGGGTGAGGCTATGAGTCAGTCCTCCTCGGATAATAAAAACTGCTTAATTCAGTTTTTGGACAATAAATTTACCATAACACTGTCAGTGTTCTGTTGTTATCAGTATCTTTACATTTCTTGACTCCCTGCTATGATAGATTTTATCTCTTCCATTGCCTACTGTAATTTGTTGCTGAAAAAAAACAATTGTTAGTAAGTAATATGCTGAGGGGTGGTGATTATATAAAAGGATGAGGGGCAAGATCCCTGTGATAGAATGTATGTGTGTACCTGTGTGTGTGAGCTCATGAAGGAATGAGTGCCTAATGTGCGTGCAAATAATCTGATAGGCCTGAGAGCAACAGTGCAACCTGTTAGAGGTCAAGAACCATGTATTGTTCACTGTTACATTCTCAGTAATTAACGCTGTTTCTAGCACATATGAAATGTTTAAGGATAGTTTGCTGCATGAATGAGTGAAGGGTACTAATGCTCCAGGTTCCATGGGCAAAACAAGGCTTCCAATTTAAAAATGAGGTTGGATGGGGCGCCTGGGTGGCTCAGTGGGTTAAGCCTCTGCCTTCGGCTCAGGTTATGATCTCAGGGTCCTGGGATAGAGCCCCACATGGGGCTCTCTGCTCAGTGGGGAGCCTGCTTCCCCCTCTCTCTCTGGCTGCCCCTCTGCTTACTTGGGATCTCTTTCTGTCAAATAAATAAATAAAATCTTAAAAAAAAGATAAAATAAAAATGAGGTTGGAGATCCATCTGCAACAGTCTACTGTGCACCCAGTTGTTATGGGGTGATGTCTATGTACACAGAATTATGCTAGGAGTTGTGAGAAAGACCAGAGAATTGAATACACACAATGTGGACTTGAAGAGTTTCTAGTCTAGTGGGAGAGACAAGATATATACGAGCAAAAACTTAACTTCTAATTCTAGAGAGAGAATAATGGCATGCCAAATGTAATTTTTCATACCGAATACAACCACTACATGAGTGCAGAGAAAAGAGAGTCTCCAGAGGACTAGAGTCATTATAGAAAGCTACATAAACAGGGCAGGAATTGAGTTAGACATCTGAGGATTTAAAAAAAAAAAAAATAAGAGAGAGAGAGGGAAAGGAAAGGAAATAGCCGTCCAGGATGGGGAGAGGAGAGTACAAATGAGCAGTCATCAAGAGAAGAATAGATAGTTTGAGACTTCAAATTTAGGAAGCAATCATCAGACTTGGAAAAAAGAGATGATGATAGAAACATATATAATAAGGAAGTAAAGAAGCATGTAGGTTTAGTATACTAAACACTTCATACCTAAACTCATTGGTTAAAAAAAAAAAAAAGTCATGTTGAAACATAGACATATTTTAGGACCTGGCAGCATCCCCAGAGGCTAGTGAGTAGCACATGCCTCACTAGGAGGAGGCTGACCATATATTACTTCGGAGGGGAAGAACAGGTAAGTAGGGCTTGGATAAGTCTTCAGATGAAGGATTCTGTGTTGAAGGAGCCTTGGATTGCAACATAAATCTAACTCTCCCAAAGTCTTAGGTGACCTGATGTAGTTTTGTAGTTATTCCTTATATTTTATCAATTTCCATTTATTATATATATTGAAGGGTACAGGAAAGTCAGAACAGTGTATACAAATATGAGCAAACCAAGACCAGGTACATAAAGAATACATTTGGAATTCTGATTTTCAGATACTAAAAAAAAAAAAAAAATGCACACAGCAGTAAAATAAAGGATAAATATTAAGAGCCTAAAGGGGAAGCAATAATTGATAGATAAACAAAAAATAAATGAAAGTCTTACTTTTCTAATCTCTGTAAGAACTGATGTAAGAAATCTTTATTAAAGTTAATCACAGCCCTGTGGATAAATCATCCATATACTGTATTTATGTGTGAGAATATGTAGAACAGAGTTAGTAAAAAATGTTTTAAAGCTTTCAATAAATATTTTGAAAGTCACTCATATGGATCCTTTAAAACATTCATTAATGGAACATTGATTAAATCAAAAATTAACTCTTGAGAATGTTTCCTAAATAAAGTATATCTCTGCATGGATGTAAAATGAAGTTTCAAGCAACATTAATTATATCCTTTTGATGTCTCTACTGTCTTGTTCTAAAAAGCTAATAAGACCTGCACTACATCACAGTTAATGGGAGTGTGGTGCTTGTTGCTTAGGCAACAGGATGAATAAATGCAGGTCAGAATGTGCTTCAAGAAAAAAAAAACTAGAATATGATACTGAGTGGAGACTAAGTAGGTCTAAAAGATTTTTCATCCTATTAATAAAATCTGTTTCTTAGAGTGGGCTGATCATATTAGTGTACTTTAACTAAATTCATAATTAAATAAATCAGATTATGGAAATCAATAAATAATTTTTATAAAGGTAGAAACTAAATTTTATGATACTAGTAGCAAATAAATAGTGTAGAACAGCATATAAAGCAATAATTAATGACACTATTTTATGGTTTGCTCAGTTTTCATAATTAACTCCTCTGAATGATGATTCAAAGTTTATTTCTTTTTAAATTAATTTTGTCTCATGAAGAAAGTATTTGATTGACTCATCTGAATTAACTTTGTTTTCTCATTTTCTGGAAAATCATACATAAAACTTAGAACTATAAAAGTAAAGACAATAATCTATGGAGAAGCTCAGACCTCAGTTTTGTCACATATACCCAGGATTTTTGTCTCCCAGATACATTTTGGAGTACTTATACATAATTCATCCTTGAGTGTTGTTTTACGACCTCGAGATGCTTCTTTCTTTTTTTTTTTTGAGATGCTTATTTTGAAACTGTTTGATTAACCTTTCAGTTTCTGGCTTTCAAAAAGTGGTTATATTTGCTTAAATGTGTCCAACATTCAGGGGAAAATTATATTGAATTAAAATATTTGGAAGTAGCCAAATAGTCTAGAGAATCCAAAGACCCACCTAGCTTCTCATGGAACCAGAATAAATTTGGACAAGGGTTTGAGGCATGAGAATGAAAAAGTCTTATCTCAGGCAGAGACAGAGGGAAAGAATAAAGACATCAAGATGTGCAGTAAATATAAATAGCCATGAAAAGACTTTCATTCTGTTTGATAGTTCCCCGAATTCTTAGTGTTCTCTGTTTAGAGTCCTAAGTCTGTCCTAAATCTGCTCAGTGTCCTAACACTGTCATAGCAACTGAAGAAATTTTACTTTTTTTACTTTTTTCCTATTTCAATACCCACGGTATCTTATCTGTCTAATCAATTAGTGACAGTTCTCTTCAACAGGAGAAAGATAACAGGAACTGCATATCCCATTATGAAAAAACACATCCGTAAGAGTTCTATGTATACGGTTACTTAGGGCTCATATGTCTTACTACATCTATGTAGCTTTTTTCAAAAGCTCGTGGAGCATACACTTTTTAGGAAAAGAGGCAGAAGTTTAACAATTTGACTAATTTTTAAATCCATAATAGTCAAGTCAAGCTTGGAGAAAAATAATTTTAAATGGAAATTAAAAAAAAAAAACCTAAGTAGCTTTCACATTTTGTTATCTATTCTAGCATTAATAAGCTTCAAGTGTCTGCCCCAGCATTTTATTTAGAAATAGCTATTAATTATTTTCTGCAAGCCATTTGTGTGTTACATGCTTATATTTTGCAGCTCTCTCTAAATTTAGGGATCAGTAATACGTGTGATGAGAACTTAAAAGCAAGGAAAGGTAATAAGGACTGTGACGTAGCTTAACAAGGGAAACTGATGAGCACAGGGGGAGGTATGTGAATGATTAGAAAGCTGTATTATGGGTCTGCACATCTCCCCACCCTCCTTCCTCACCTATATTCATCACAGGGAGAAGTTTGCACACACCGGGTTTAGACTGCATGCAGACCAGTATTCGGAAGTACATGAATGTACTTAGTCCGTCAGCCTCCCTTTCTAAATACTGACAGGTAGTTGATGGAAACGTTTGTTTCTTTTATCTGAAGTAATAAATAACACTTCAGTGCTCTTCAATCAGCATGTGTAAGTAAGTGAATGTTCTCCATAATTGACCATCTGAAGCAGTTTACTAACAAACTAAAGGTCGTCCACATAATTTAAACTGCTTATCGAACAATTATCAGGAAAAAAATAATCCTCACACCGTAAACATAACAAATTGTCTAATTAATCACTAAATGCTGATGCTCAAATGAAAGATGTTTTAGGAATCTAGAATTAACTGAAGAGTACTGTAATCTAACCGGGTATTCTGAGATGACAAATTTATAAAAATCACACAAAGAATGACAGGGAGAATATAAATGTTAATCTTCCTTCACGGCCTATAAATAGTACTCTCACCGGTTCATTCACATAATACATATGTATATGGATGCCTATAGATCTCATTTTTCAGCAAGTGTCTATATGCACACAGTAAGTTCCATCCTAAGGGCATCCGATTTTCTGATGCAGTTAGATATATACATTGACCGGTTTTGGTGCAAATCAGGCTGCCTCTGAGCCGTGTAAGACACATAAGAAGCAAAGACAGACAAAAGGCAGCTCCGTGGACACAGAGAGCATCTTACCATAAACTGTACATTGTCAAATCCATTAGCCATCAGGTGGTTCTCGTACTGAGGTAGCCCAATGCTTTCCAACCATTGTCCCACTGTTTGGACAGGGCATCTGGGTCCTGTAAGAGGATGAAGAGGGAAGCGTTTAAGCAGGGAGTAGCCGTCCACTGGGTAATAGCGGTAGTCCTGGGCTGAGAGGTGGCATTGCCACATCATGCTCCTGGGAAAGTTGCTATCAAAAGAGCCCGCCAGCTTGACAGATTAATGTTCTCAGCGAGAGAGCAAAGTCAGAAGTAAAACATAGTTTGCCAGGCAGGCTGTGGAGTATGACTTGATCCTAGCTCCACATTTCTTACATATTAATCTTTACTACCGACCAGTACGTCATACAGCCCCCAAAACCAGGCAGCAGAAGAAGGCATATCAAGCTGTCAGCTTAGGCTGGTCTGCGTTCTATGTGATTGTTGGAGTACTCCACAATGAGCAATGCACGGCCAGCAGCCAGAATTCTTTTTATCAAGTACTCCTACACTCATCAGTATGCAGCTCCATGCTCCTTGCTCCCCCTCGCTCGCTCCCCTTCATTACCCAGCCCAGGCTACACCTCGCATTTTCAATAATAGCCATCAGATAAGGCAGATTTTTTTTTTTTTTTGTCTGCAAGCTGTAAGCCTGCTGCTGCTGCTTCCTCCTACACACCCATCCAAGCGTCAATCCTGAATGATGAGAGCAGTCAAAACAAATGCAGAAAATAGCAAGATTCAAAAGCAAACCAAAGTGCTTAAATCTCAATTGAATCTTCATACTGGTTATGCATTACAGGGCTAATTGTTGTGGAATTTTACGTTTCAAAAGACACCAGGAAATGCAAAGCTTTAACTATAGCTTATAGCGGAGCTCACTACAGGTTTTCTTTTTCCTCTCCTTTTCTTCTCTTTCCTTTCTTCTTTTCTAACTGCAGCACAGATAAATGTTTCCGATCTAAAGCTTTGCAGGGTTTGGAGAATAATTATTCTCTTCCTTTAACATGTTGTATGAAAATGAACCTCTCTGAAATATTTTTTTTTTTCCCTTCTGAATTACTGCAAAATACAGAAACTGCATCGCAGTCTTGAAGTCAAGATAATTCATTTCTCAATTGCAGGGCTTCTTCTAAACAAAAATATTATTAGGCACAAGAAATCCTTTTCCCCTCTGATATTTATAACCCAGTCTACCAGGGTTAGCATTCTAAATTAGCTATAAAGGTAACGTTACTGGGTAGAGATTTTTAATAAAGAAGAAGAGCCCTAACCAAAAATAATTCAAGAATAACAGATGCAAATGTGTGAGTTTTACTGAATGGCAGACAGATTGGGTAATTTATTTAATAATTGAGAGAAACCAGAGATTAATAATAGAACCCATAGGACTAAATCATAAGAAAGAATAGACTCTTAAGATTGGGAGATAACTTGAAGAAGGGTAAGTCTAACCTGTCTCTTAAGGCAGAAATCCCTTGTCACAGGGTGCCGAGATGATTATCACCGAATTTATGCTTGAATACTGCCTAGAATGCAGCTCTTACTACTTATCAGGAAGACTCCACTTATTAGATATTTTACTTCCTACCTGACTCCTACTCACTTGTTCCAGCTCTGCCTTTGTGGTTACACAGACTGGGAACAGTGTCTTTTCTACGTAAAGTGTTTTAAAAATCAAAGATAACTCCCATCCCCCCAGAACAGTGCCTGGCACATAAAAAGTGCTCAATAAACATTTATTAAATAAATGAAACATTATTTTTCTTCTTTCTCCAAACCTTATCTTTCTCTTTTTTGTTTGTTTGATTCTTTTTTTTTAATTTAAACATTTTTTTAAAATTTATTTTCAGCATAACAGTATTCATTGTTTTTGTACCACACCCAGTGCTCCATGCAATCCGTGCCCTCTCCAATACCCACCACCTGGTTCCCCCAACCTCCCACCCCCCCACCTCTTCAAACCCTTCAGATTGTTTTTCAGAGTCCATAGTCTCTCATTGTTCACCTCCCCTTCCAATTTCCCCCAACTCCCTTCTCCTAACTCCCCATGTCCTCCATGCTATTTGTTATACTCCACAAATAAGTGAAACCATATGATAATTGACTCTCTCTGCTTGACTTATATCTTTCTCTTTTTAAGAACTTTGTCAGCCTCCCTGGCACACAGTCATGAATCTTTAAAACATCTTTGACTCGGTCTTTCACTGCCTGACATGCAACCCCAGGTTCTAGTCCATCTTTACCAGGGTGTTTTGTCTCCATTCCCTGGATTTTACTTCCTTTTTCATGTTTGTGGAATGGCCATCTACTTTAATTCTGCCATCTCATAAGACATCATGGCTGGATGCAGCGATAGTATCTATATTGCTTTTCCTATCTCTGATATTTTAAAATCTATTTTATACACGGGTGTCAGACTAACCTCTCTAGGACAGTTTGGTTTTTATGCCTTGTTTCAAAACCCCTCCATGGTTTTCAGTTGGCTTCAAAATAAACTCCCATCTCCTCCTAATGACATTTTGGGGTCTCCATGATCTTTTACAAATCATCCACATTTACTTATTTTTCCCTGGCACTCCAGTCACGTGGGATTTCTGGCTGGTCTCTAAATGCATAATGTAACATACTTGGGTTGTTTTTGTTATGTCCCCACATTTCTGCCCCTTCTTTGGCTTTGGAACAGATGACATTTCCTTTAATTTTTTGTAATCCCTCCTAACAGGAATAAATGCTTTCTTTAACTGTTTTAAATGGCATTTTTAGACCTTCTATTAGGACAAATAAATATTTTCTGTCTAATATTATAGTTATTTGTGTATAAGACTTGTAGAACTATGTCTTGCTAATACTGCTTGTGGTAAGGATTCAGGATGCGCCTGCTAAACCAAATAATTTTCATTTCATAATCCAAACAACATAAAATTCTAGCTTCAGATTTAACATTTCATTAAAAAATTTCTATCTGAAGTCTCTGAATTTTTATTTAAAAAATGATAGGTAGGTTTTTATATAGAATTTTTAGGTCTGGATCTTTAATATCCTCATCCTTCTTTTCACTATATTATTATTTATTTCTGATTGGTTCTAGATCTTTCAAGAAGGTCAAAAAGTTTGCAGCAGTTAAGGAGTCAGTTTTAAGGGGCTCTGACTGCTCAACATTACTTGTATGAGAAGTTGAAAACAAGACACTGTTTGTTCTTGGCCAGCTCTAAAGTCGGTATAAGGTGAAATTAAAGGTAAATATCAAATACAGCCTTTCCTAGGATCATATCCACACTGTTCTTCCTGATCATTTTGAACTATGAGCAGGTGGATAGGCTACAAAAAGATTGTACAAACATAATAATAATGTTTTAGCTTAGTAAGGCATATGCTAAAATCTTAAAATCCTAAAATCCCATCTCGTCTCTTAAGAGATGGTCAAAGTATAGGGATCAAGTACTGCCACACACACACAGCCTAGGTATCAAATCATCTTTGTTAAGTGAAAGAACTAATGACACTGGAAATGGTTTTGATAGGATTTTCATTTCTTAATAGAGAAAGAGAAAGAGAGAGAGCAGAATTATTTCAAGGTCCAGACTGCTTTATGAAAACATAGCTTGCATACAGGCCAATATCTTGATGAACATAGACGTACACATCCTCAACAAAATATCAGCAAACTGAATTCAACAATATATTAAAAGGATCATTCACCATGATCAAGTGGGATGTATTCTGGGACACAATGATGGTTCAATTTCCATAATCCAATCAACATGATATACTACATTAACAAAATTAAGCATAAAAACCATACAATCATCTCAACAGATGCAGAAAAAGTACTTGGCAAATACATCTATTCACAGTAAAATAAACTCTGAACAAAGTGGGGTTAGAGGGAACATGTAGGGAACATGGCAAACCCACAGCTAACATCATACTCAATTGTGAAAAACAGAGCTTTTCCCAATAAGATCAGAAATTAAATAAGAACATCCACTCTCACCACTTTTATTAAACATAGTACTGAGAGTCCTAGTTGCAGCAATCAGACAAGAAAAAGAAACATAAAGCATCCAATTGGTAAGGAAGAAGTAAATCGATCACCATTTTCAGGTGACATGATACTATATATATAAAAACCTTAAAGACTCCACCAAAAATCTATTAGAAGTGATAAATGAATTCAGTAAAGTTGCAGAATACAGAATTAATACCCAGAAATCGTATTAATTCTGTATTCTGCAACTTTACTGAAGCATTTCTATACTAACAACAAAGAATTTCTCTGCTCTGAAAGAGAAATTAAGAAAGCAATTTCATTTACAATTACACCAAAAAGAATAAAATACCTAGGAATAAAATTAGTCAAGGAAGTGAAAGATATATCCTCTGAACACTATAGAACACTGATGAAAGAAATCGAAGATGACAAAAACAAATGGAAAGATATTCCATACTCATAGATTGAAAGAATTAATATTGTTAAAATGTCCATATTACACAAAGTAATCTACAGATTTAATGCAATCAAAATAGCAACAACATTTTTCACAGAACTAGAATGAATAATAAAAAAGTTAGTATGGAGTCACACAAGACCTGAATAGCCAAAGAAATTTTGAGAAAAAAGAACATAGCTGGAGGTATCACAATCCCAGATTTCAAGATATACTACAAAGTTATCATAATCAAAACAGCATGGGACTGGCACAAAAACAGACACACAGATCAATGGAACAGAATAGAAATCTTAGAAATAAACCTACAATTATATGATCAATTACTCTACAACAAAGAAGGCAAGAGTATACAATGGGGAAAAGATAGTCTCTTCAACAAATGGGTGCTGGGAAAACTCAAGTGTTTACGGCACTTGAGTTGTAACATGTTCCTTTTCTCCTACACTACGTGCAAAAGAATGAAACTGGATTACTTTATTATACCATACACAAAAACAAACTTTAAATGGATTAAAGACCTAAATTTGAGGCATGAGACCATAAAACTCCTAGAAGAAAACATGGTCAGTAATCTCTTTGGCATTTGCTTTAGCAAAGTTTTTCTAGATGTGTCTCCTTAGGGAAGTGAAACAAAAACAAAAATAA